AACCACAGCCAGGTCCCATGAGGGCACCTTGGTGCGCTGTACCGGCCTCAGCCTCAGGGTGCCACGGAGGAAACGAGTGACAAGTGGGTGTCTTCCCAATGATTGACCACCCAGAAGGGCATGGTATGCAGCTAAGGCCGCCACGTATACCTTCAGAGTGGAGGGAGATAACCCTGCGGAGAATCGCTCCTGCAGAAACTCCAGAACTGTACCAATTGGGCAGTTGACTGGGTCCTGCAGTCGCTGTCCGCACCATGAAGCGAAAAGTTTCCACTTCAAGGCGTACTGTTCCCTATTGGCACAACCTCAGTTGAGCAACCAGATGCTAGGAGCTGTGCCCCCTCAGGGGCCGTGCCCACAGGTCCCTCCTGATCGGAATCTCCAGTGGAGAGCTGTCGTGGAGGGACACCAAGTCCGAGTACCATACTCGAGCCGGCCAGAGAGGGGCTACTAGCAACAGACGGACCCCATCCCGGCGTACCCTCTCCAGAACTCCCGGGAGCAGAGCGATCGGGTGAAAAGCGTACAGACGAAGCCTCGGCCACGTCTGCACCATGGCATCCAGCCCCAGTGGAGCTGGATGCGTGAGGGAGAACCAGAGCGGACAGTGTGTCGTTTCCTGCGACGCAAATAGATCCCCTTCCCCCCTGCCAAATTCCCTCCAAATGAGCTCCACCGCCTCGGGGTGGAGCCTCCATCCCCCGGGCCTCAGCCCCTGTCTCGACAGGATATCTGCCCCCTGATTTAGATACCCAGGGATGTAAACTGCTCTTAGAGAGAGGAGCTTCCCCTGGGCCCACAGAAGGATCTGGCGCGCCAGCTTGTACAAGGGGCGTGAACGCAGACCCCCCTGCCGATTGATGTAGGAGACCACCGATGTGTTGTCTGTGCGGACAAGCACATGATGCCCCCTTAGGTCTGGAAGGAAGTGTGTCAGAGCTCGAAACACGGCCAGCATCTCCAGGCAGTTGATGTGCCAAAGGAGATGATGGCCTTCCCACAGACCCTGGGCAGAGCGACCACTCATGACCGCTCCCCAGCCCGTGAGAGAGGCATCCGTCGTTAGCGTTACGCGACGACAAGGAGCCCCTAACGTCGGGCCTTGAACCAGGAACCAACGTTTCTTCCACATGTCTAAGGCACGTAAAACATCGCCGCGTGACCTTGTGACCTTGATGCGGATTCCCCATCGGGGAAAATCCCTTGGTTCTGAGCCACCACTGCAGGGGTCTCATGTACAGCAGGCCA